CACACACACACACACACACACACACAGAGAGAGAGAGAGAGAGAGAGAGAGAGAGAGAGAGAGAGAGAGAGAGAGAGAGAGAGAGAGAGTTCTTCTTCTTCCTCTTCGAAGTCCACCATCTCTCCCTCACCCTCTCGCCACCTAACTTCTCAATATCTGCAGACTACGAGAGAGAGAGAGATTGGTGACTTCGGGACTTGACGACATTTGGATTCAGACTCGGCATTGGGATTGAGACATTGGACGAGGGATTATTTGGGACCTGTACCGAAGACTTGGTGTTGACGACATTCCCATCTTCCCCTCTTCTTCGTCTAACCCCCCTCCGCTTCGTCTGTGTATGTTTGGGACTGGCGCAGTCTTCCTGTGTGAGCGCCAGGTCCCTTCACACCATACGATGATGATGCTGTATGTTTGGTCTGCATTGCGACATTGATTGATCGGATCATTGGTATATTAGCCTTCCGCTGCACTATCTTGTACTATGTGAGAGAGGTCGGTTCTTGTTCTGGTCTGCACCGTTACGGTATGCGACCAGTTTGGTATCGGAGCGGACCTCTCAATCAGAGGATCCGCCCAATCAAGTAGCCAGCTTGCTTGACCTTCTGATTTTTTATTGATTTTGATTGATTGATTGATTGATTGATTGATTGATTGATTGATTGATTGATTATTAGTAAGACAAGTAGGACTTCGTCAAATCTCGGCAAATTTTTTTCTCGCAACTTCGGATATTAGCATTTCGTTTTCTGTTTTACTCTGGGCATAGTAGGTGAACTAGGGAGGTTGTCGTATTCTCGGACTGGATATATTCTTCTCTGAAAGTGGAACCTCCAGTCTATTTCGCGCAAAAAAAAAATTCAAGATCTCATTTTTTTTTGAAAGCCGAAACTTTGCAGAACCTTGCCTAGATCTCGCTCATAGTACTCTGAAATGCCTCACTCATAGCAGATCGACAGATATACAAAAAAAAAAAGGGGGGGGGAGGTGATCCTCTTCTTTTATTTAATTTTTTTATTTTAGTCTGTTGATTAGGACCGGGAGGAAAGTTTTGGTTGGTTACCTACCTGCGTTTTCCTTCCCACCCAACCCTTTGCCTGCATTCCTGGTTTGGTAAGTGCATGTCAGCACCAGTGCCATGTCAGCAACAGTGCCACGTCAGCAGTGCCACATCAGCAGCAGTGCCACATCATCAGCAGCCCCACGTCAGCAGCCCCACGTCAGCAGCCCCACGTCAGCAGGGCCCCGCCACCATGACGGGTTCATCATTGGGCCTGCCAGGCCAACAGGTCGATGAGTCCATTGACGAGTACCATCAGCGGGTTCTAGCTCATCTCGCACTGACCGAGGTGGAGGTGCAGCGCCAGGTGGCAGCCGAGGCTGCCCGCGTACAAGCTGAGGCAGAGGCAGCAGCTGAAAAGCAGTGGCTGCAGGCCGAAGCAGAAGCAGATGCCCAGGCCCTCCGCAAGGAGGCCCAAGAGCTGCTGCAGCGGCACGAAGCCACCAGCATCGACAAGCTCAAGTTCTGGCATTTTGAACCATCCGCCAGCCACGATAACACAACATCGGAAGAGCAGCACAAGGAGTTTTTCTCCAAATTTGTGACACAGTTGGTTTACACTTGTAACCACCAACAGTCCGAGTTAGACAAACAACTCCAGGAACTGGCGAAACAACACCAGGAACTGGCGAAACAGCACCAAGACTTGGTGAGTCTCCGATGGGCAATGCAGAACCACAAGGGTCTGCACGAGGATGCTACACGGGCACTTCATTCCCGTGTACAGGACTTGGAGAAGGGCGCACCAAGACCAAATGCTGGCGAGTCCAGTAATGCACCCTCTACCCGCCAATTGGAGGAACGAGTTGATCATGTAGTCGCAATGCTCGGCGACATCACCACCTTCGTTGCACCAGCCACCATCAGCGAGCAGCTCGGCACCTTGCAGACCGAACTCAGGCAGCTGCACCAGCTGCCCGACAACGATTGCAGCACATCGAAGCACTACAAGATGCCAACGTTCAGGATTGAGAAATTTGACGACTATACCCATCAGGACCCAGTCGTCTGGTGGGACGGTTTTACAACGGAGCTTGGGATTCACGAGGTCCCCGAATACTTGTTCATCTCGGCGCTGTTCCTCAACGTCAAGGGCGGATGCCAGATCTGGCTCAGCCACATGGCAACCATCAACGGCGTCCAGGTCAACCATCTATACCAGAAAATCTCCGGGGAAGATCTGACGAGAGAATGGAAGAAGCGGTTCATCGTCGACGACGCCAGGCGCTCGCCATCAACCGCCTCTTCACCATAACCCAAGGCAACACACCAACACACAATTGGCTCACAGAATGGCAAAAGATCATGGCAACGCCCGATCTCCAGTTGGCATTTTTGCACGTGCGCCGAGAGTTCTACAACCGGTCGTGTGCCACCTTGAGTCTCACACTCAGTGATCACAAGCAGTACACGAACTTTGCCGAAATTATCGAGAAGGCGCGAAAGATCATCAAGACCAACCGGGCTGCTGCACACGAGGAGTCAGCGTGGCAGCCAACCTATGTGGAGAAGGGAAAATTTGGTCTGCGTCCGCAACATGTCGCTGCAGTCCAACCGGACAACATTGTGGAAGACCTGGCAGCCACCTCAACATCACGTGAGGGAGATCAGGTGGCCGTCGTCCAGCCGCGAAGCAACAACAACTCCCGTGGAAAAGGGATGGTGAAAACCGCATTGCCGGCGGGAAATGGACAGCCAGTACCATGGGTCAAGTTCAACTTGATCGAGGCCGAATACAAGTACTGTAGTCGATACGGCTGCTGCTATTGGTGCAACAACACCAAACACAAGACCTCCCAATGCCTGGATCGCATCAACTCGGGAAACTGAGTTGCGGGGGAGGTGAGGCGACTCCACCTCTCACTCTGCCAGATTCGGCCGCCTTGCTAGCGGCCTCCTACACATCTGGGGAGAATGCGGATGTTGTGAGTCCTCGGTTCACTTACGAGGATTACGCTGTCCACTTGGTCCCACCGTTGGACCAGCCACTCCACGTGCAACAATCCACCGCATGCACGGTTTCATCACCATCGACAACCGATTCGGCAGCTTCGCCGCCAAATTTCGTCGGGGTTTCAACGTCATGGTCTAGACTTGAGGAGCTCGACCCGTTGACGTTCGCGGACTTCCAACGGATGCCCCTTCCCCCGACCGGTCGATTGTTGAAACCACATTGCAACGTGCTCATGGCACAATTGTCGAATTACTTGCACACTGCAGTACCAACTCCGTTGATGGACACCGGGGTAGAGGTTGTTGACCTTCACGACTATGTTGCGAAGATCGACCGCGAGTTCAAGACACAACGGTACGACGACATCGACGCGCCATTGTTATACATACGCATTCAGATCGGAGAGGCGACCTGCATTCAAATCGGAGAGGCGACCTGCAACGCTTTGATCGATTGCGGAGCTACTCGCAACTATATCAGCCAAGACTTTATGGTACGCGTTGGCCTTGGGCCACGCGTTCGGAGGAAGTTACAGCCCACGCAAGTCACGTTGGTCGACGGTTAAACGCACAAGTCAATCGATCGGTGCATTGATTGTCCCCTGTCCCCGTGTACTTCGCCCCGCATGCAAGCGAGGCCGTGTCCTTCGACATTTTGGACACTCAGTTCGACATGATCTTGGGCATGTCATGGCTGCGAAGCGAGGATCACCCGGTGAACTTCTACCGCCACACCGTTCACGTTCGTGATCGGAATGGAGTACTAGTCCCATGCACGGTGCCTCCTCCTCACCCTTCGATCAACTGCCACGTGGTGTCCGCCGCAAGCATTCGAGCTTCCATCACCAGGGATGACATCGAGGAGACGGGGGTGTGTTTTTTTCACGCCCTCCCTCCCCATGACATTTCATTGACAGACTCATCACCGGACCCACGCATCACTGAGCTTCTCGACACCTACGGCGACGTGTTCAAAGCCCCGCACGGAGTAGTACCGGATCGGCTCATCCACCACGAGATCATCCTCGAGGGGGGGGGTCGTACCTCCGCGTGGTTGCATTTACCACATCAGAGAGGAAGAGTTAAGTGTGCTACGAGCACAACTCGACGACCTCCTCGAGAAAGGCTGGATTTGGCCTAGCTCGTCGCCATACGGTGCTCCCGTTCTCTTCATCCGGAAGAAGAACAACGATTTCCGGTTGTGCATCGATTATCGCAAGCTCAACGAGCAAACCGTCAAGAACGTGGGCCCTCTCCCGCGCATCGACGATCTTCTCGAACGGCTGGGCGACACTAAGTTTTTCTCAAAGCTTGACCTCAAATCGGGTTATCACCAACTTGAGATCCGGCAGGAAGACCGCTACAAGACCGTGTTCAAGACGCGATATGGGCACTTCGAATGGCTGGTCATGCCATTTGGCCTTACGAATGCCCCGGCCACATTCCAAGCGGCTATGACAACGGAGTTCTGACACATGTTGGATAAATTTGTACTCATCTACCTCGACGATATCTTGGTTTACAGTCGGAGTTTGGACGAGCGTGTGGAGCACCTGCGCACCGTTTTGGACCGGCTACGACAAGCCAAGTACAAAGCCAACCGCGACAAATGTGAATTCGCGCGGCAAGAGCTCGAGTACTTGGGCCATTATGTGACGCCGCAAGGCATCCATCCGCTTGTGGACAAGATCGAGGTCATCCGCGCGTGGCCCGAGCCCACCAACACCACGGACGTTCGCTCATTCATGGGATTGGCGGGCTACTATCAACGCTTCATCACCGGGTACTCAAGGATTGTCGCACCTATGACGAGATTACAATCGTCAAAGGTGCCATTCGTATTCGATGACGACGCACGGCGGTCATTCCAAGCACTCAAGACGACCATGCTCATGGCACCCGTCCTTAGCATTTACGACCCCACCTTGCCAACGAGAGTGACAACTGACGCTTCCGGCTATGGCATTGGGGCAGTCTTGGAACAACACGACGGCGATGATTGGCACCCCGTGGAGTATTTCATCCACAAAGTGCCTCCCATCAACTCACTTGATGATGCAAGGAAGAAGGAGCTACTCGAGTTTGTGATGGCTCTCAAGCGCTGGCGGCACCAAGATGAAACCAAGTTCGGCTCGGCATCCACAAACGGACGGGCAAACGGACGGGCAAACGGAGCGGGCACATCAAACCGCTCAAATGATGCTTCGTACGCTCATCTGTCCGGATCAGAAGGATTGGGTTGACCACATCCCGACATCGAGTTTGCCTACAACACTTCGTTGCATCCGGCGATCGGTGTGACTCCATTCGAGTTGCACCACGGTGGTAAAAAAGGCCGTATTTTCTCTGATCTTCTCCTCCCACGAACAACCGACATAGACGCTGCTCGCTCCCCCGCTTCTGTCCGAAAGTACAGGGAATTGCTGGCTCAAGCCCGCGCGAACATGCAAAAGGCTCAAGTCCGCATGCAGCCGCAAGCCAACAGGCGTCGCGTGTCCCATCCATGTCGGTGATCTGGTTTGGGTCTCCGCGGAAGAGTTTCCACTTGAGCAGGATGTTTCCCACAAACTACTCCCCAAGTGGTTTGGACCATGGACCGTAACATCAGTCGCGGTCGATGAGCCCGATGGCCCCTCATCTGTGATCAACATCCCCCTGCATCTGACGGTCCATTCAATCTTTCACGCCTCGAAGTTGGCGACATATACACCAGCTAAGAGCGACGACTTCTCGGGCCGACGATCTCAAGACCCTCCATCTATGAATGGTCATCAAGAAGTTGACCGCGTCATCACGGATCGCAAGTACGACAGCAAGCCTCGACAGTACAAAGTTACCTTCAAAGCATGCGATCCCGACGACACTCGATGGATTTCAGGAGCAGATTTGAAAGCATCCGCACCGCTGATCTACGCTCACTCCAAACGACAAAGGTTGGCTAACGGAGCTTCATGACCTGCTCCTCCCACCCGGACTTTGGTCCCTCCCTCAGGCAAACAGCTTCGCCCTCGCAGGTAAGCTCGGTTTTTCAAGGAGAGGGGGGGGTGGCATACTGCACAGCCACACGGGCCTGCAGGGCCCGACCAGCGTTCTCAGCCTAAAAGCCTGAAAACAAGGGCCTACAGGCCTTGTGTCGTTTCAGCCTAAAAGCCTGAAAACAAGGTCCTACAGGCCCTGTGTCATTTCAACCTAAAAGCCTGAAAATAAGGGTCTGCATGCTCTGTGTCGTTTCAGCCTAAAAGCCTAAAAACTAGGGCCTACAGGCCCTGTGTCGTTTCAGCCTAAAAAGGGCCCTCCAGGTCCTGAGTCTTTTCAGCCTGAAACGGAGGGCCATCTTCAGGCCCTCGTAAGATCGACCTGCCCTGAAACTTAGGCACCAGACCAGGGTTTTAGCACAGGCCATTTTGGGCCTCTTTTGAAGACAACCTTTGTTGAACTTCAACGCCAGGGTCTGGCACGTTTTGGCATTGGCAAGAGCAGCCTCCTGGATGGGCCAGCACTATATAAGACTGGCCCGCCCTGCAGGCTGCAGGTAGTTCATAGGGACTTCCCAAACACTTCACGTGCAGGAGGCAGGAGGTAGTCTTCGGGATTCGGCAGCAGCACTCTGGAGGAGCACTGCGGTAGTAGTAGTAGCGTTAGCAGTAGTTTTCAGCGTTGGGCGCTATTAGGAGCTAGAGTAGCGTTGGAGAGAGAGAGAGATTGGTGACTTTGGGACTTAACGACATTTGGATTCAGACTCAACATTGGGATTGAGACATTGGACGAGGGATTATTTGGTACCAGTACTAAAGACTTGGTGTTGACAACATTCCCATCTTTCCCTCTTCTTCGTCTAACCCCCCTCCGCTTCGTTTGTGTATGTTTGGGACTGGCGCAGTCTTCCTGTGTGAGCGCCAGGTCCCTTCACACCATACGATGATGATGATGTATGTTTGGTCTGCATTGCGACATTGATTGATCGGATCATTGGTATATTAGCCTTCCGCTGCGCTATCTTGTACTATGTGAGAGAGGTCGGTTCTTGTTCTGGTATGCACGGTTATGGTATGCGACAGCAGGAGTGCAGTATGGCCGGGAATGATAAAGCAATGGACAGTGTCCGAGGAATAACACAGCATGCTAGGGAGGAGACGACCGGTCCGATGGAGAGAGCGGGGCTGACACTCCGTGCAACGATGTGGAAGGCCAGCCAAAAAGGCGCGAAGCAAGATGTGGAAGATGGAGCGAGGATATTGATGCATAAGCGGGGTAGGCAAAGAGAAGCAGCCGCAAGGACAGCGGACGTGAGGCACGATGGAATGGAGTGGGAAGGTAGATGGACATGAAGAGTAGATGGAGAGAAGGCATACGCAAGGACAATGGACGAGGGGCGCAGGAGATGGGTGAGCATATAGATGCACAGGCGAAGTAGGCTGAGAGGAGGCAATCGCGAGGATAGTTAGGCGAGAGGCGTGAAGTAATGCACAGAAGATGGACGAGGATATAGATACACAGTCAGGGTAAACCGAGAGAAAGCAGCTGCAAGGACAACGGGCGAGCCGACACTCGAGCTGCGGACAGAATGAGATGGAACTGGTGGCGCCGCGGGAAGATAAACTGAAGGTGAGGGATAGCGCGCGGGACATGAGAGGTGTGGTACGGCGGCTGAACCGACACCGAAAAAGCGACCAGACTGCTGGTACAGTAGGGGTGTCCACAATTGTACCCTATCAAAAAATGGACCCGACCTCAACACCATGTTTCTAAGATGACCCAGCCTGTCTTTTAATCCAAAAAAATAGCCGCTGGCTAAGAAATCCCCTTGCCGCCATCAAACACCCTTCCAAACAATCGACACCGGAAAGTGATCCTTCATCTGGCCCAATAGACAGGCCTTGACAAAAGAGTAACCCAACGGCAACCCCCAAATCCCAAAATCAGTTTCCCATGTCTGTGGTCCATTGAGTTAGAGAACAGCGTGTCCCATCGTGTGCAACATTCGACCCAATGTTATCGGCAACCAGCATGCTTTGCACAAAACGTAATCAAAGCATTGTCAAAAGACTTATCTGGATATCCTCTAATTCCTAGCTCAATTTCCATAGTCAGAAGAAACAGGAGTTTGGATGCAGGCAGAGTCGCATAAGCCTTGGCTCGATGGAGGAAGGAGGTAATGTGCAGCGGGTCTCCATCTGCCTTGGCCCACAACCAGGGCCTATTTGGCTATTTGTTAATTCGGCCTGTGGGACCAGGTCGTGGCCTGACCCCATAGGCCGTGTGCTGTTCCAGTCCAATTCAGTCCTGCCCGGTACCACTGTCGGTACCAGTCCAGTCCAGTCCAGTCCAGTCAGTCCGCTGGGGGTATACCCCAGTTGTTGTCTGTTTTTCATATCATTCTTCACTTTTGCACATCTTGGAGTGCGTGCGTGTTGAGTCTGCGTCGGAGCTGCGCTGTCCCTTCCAGCTCCATCTTTGCCTCCTCCTTCGTCAACCCTTCTTCTCCATCCTGACGGACGGCCATCCCGGCGGGTCCGGCACACTGGTATCAGAGCGGAACGGTCCTCGTTCCAACCCGCCCACCCTCCCGCAGCAGGGAGAAATCGGTGTAATCCCGGTAGCGGGATTTTCAGGGGGCGCCGCACATTGCCCCACTGCCCCGCCCCGCCCGCCCCGCTCCCAGATTATATTTTTCAAGATCCGGGATGTTGCAGCTTCCAGGGTTTGAACCTGGGCAGCTGCTGCTCATGCTCGTGCGTGGCCAGTGCCTTAACACACTGGTCAAATCCACAATGTGAGCTTACATTGTGGCTTGCTGCTGTTGAAGANCAGGGCCTATTCGGCAATTTGCCAGTTCGGCCTGTGGGACCAGGTCGTGGCCTGACCCCACAGGCCGTGTACTGTTTCAATCCAGTTCATTCCTGCCCCGTACCACTGTCGGTACCAGGCCAGTCCAGTACAGTCCAGTCAGTCCGCTAGGGGTATACCCCAGTTGCAGTCTGTATTTCGCCATTCTTCACTTTTGCACATCTTGGAGTATGTGCGTGTTGAGTCTGCGTCGGAGTTGCGTTGTCCCTTCCAACTCCATCTCTACGTCCTCCTTCGTCAACCCTTCTTCTCCATCTTGACGAACCGCCATCCCGGTAGGTCCGGCACACTGGTATCAGAGCGGGAACGGTCCCCGCTCCAACCCGCCCACCACCCCCCCGTAACAGGGAGAAATCGGTGCAATCCCGATAGCAGAATTTTCAGAGTCTTGAAGGGCGGAAACAGCGAAAAAACGGGAGCGTGTAGAGGCTGACACGTGGCGAAAAACGAGAGTCACTGTCACGATGCGGGCGCACGCGCACGCACCACGCTGGCCCGCTGCCCCGCTGCCCCGCCTCGTTCCCAAATTATATTATTTAAGATCCGAGATATTGCAACTGTTAGGGTTTGAACCTGAGCAGCTGCTGCTCATGCGTGTGCGTGGCCAATGCCTTAACACACTGGCCAAAGTCACACTGTGAGCTTATATTGTGGCTTGCTGTTGTTAAAGAAGTGCATCCGTCAGTGAGCAGTGAGCAGCGTGCGGGAATACAACTATTTGCCCCCTCCTCCCCCCCCCCCGGGTGGTGGGTGTTGCCGCCTGCGCACGTGGTTGTGTGCTGCCTCTCTGCAGTGCCACGTGGCAGCTTGTTGTGGATCTTGAAGACCCCCCTGGCTAGGGGGCTGCACTACAGTGTCATCTGGGTGGCTGATCCAGATCTCAGCCCACCCCATAAATTAATTTTTTTTTGCAGTGGCATTAGGCCAGCAACATCTTGAAGGCCAAGATCCTGTGGATCTTGGTAGTGCTCTGCTCTTGGCCACCCAAGAGCCCGGTATCACCATCCTACCCACTAACCTACTCTCCCCCAACCCCTTTTCTCTCCCCCAGCCCATCATCTAATCATCTTTTCTAACCCTACCACTACCCTCTCCTCCTACCTCCCTCTTCACTCATCTTCCACAACCTTTTTCTCTCCTCTCCTCCCCACTCACCATCGCCTACTAATCTGATCTACTCCTCTCCACCTTTTTTGTATCCTTCTCCCCCATTCTACCACCCTCCTCTCCGTCTTCCCCCCCCTAACTACAACCCCATCATTTCCCCCATCTCCCCCTTCACTCTTTTTCTCTTTCTCACCTATTTCTCTCTTTTCTTGTTATTTGTCATCCCCCCTCCCCCCCAACTTCGAAAAATTTCTGTTTTTCTTCTTTTTATCTTTGTTTTTTATTTATATTTCCTCCTTTTCCCAAAAATTTGAATTATCTTATTCCCCACCTTCTTTTCTCATTTTCTAATTTATTTCATATTATTTTTTTTAATGCTTTCGGCACACATTTTGACCCCGTGGGGGTAATGAAGTGCTGCCGAAATTTTCTGTTTTTTTCTTTTACTTAAGTCTTTTTCAGCACATTTTGACCCCTTGGGGGTAGCGAAGTGCTGGCAAAATTTTCTAATTTTACTTAACCTTTCTTCTTGACGCCGTTGACGGCACACTTCGACCGCATGGGGGTAACAAAATGCTGCCAAAAAAATTATAAAAGAATAAGTATTCTTTCTCTTCTCACCTTTTGCTTTTTTTTTTATTTATTTATTTTTATTATTTATTTTCTTTTAATTTTTATCTCGAAATTTCACTGTTTATTTCAGGGCTGGTCCCCGGATGGACCGGGGACCCCTACCCCATTCGCGGTCCTCCCGATTGGACTGGCCGGTGGCCCGGGCCGGTTCCCTCCCGGTTGTCCGCAGCGCATTTTCGCTGGGGCCTGATTTTTTTTTTTTGTCGGCGCGTATGTGTTCCTGAGGCCTCGTGGGGGCGGGCCCTGCCCTGCAATTTCGAAACCGGATCCTGTAGGCCCGGATTTTTCAAGTCCAAAAAGTGGCCAATCTTGGCCGCCGATCGTTGCAGATCAGCGGCAAAGATCGGCCAGGACCCCATTTCTTAAGAAAAACGGCAGGGGATATCCGCCGCTGATCTGTGCAGATTAGCAGCGGAGAACACCCACACATTTTTCTTAAGATGTGGGTCGGGTAGGCCCCTTCTCCAATTTGTCATCTTGTGGTCCAATGAACCAGTTGCCATTGGCAACATCTTATGATCTTTCACCGTCAGCGACAAGGGGAACACTATGCTTGTGATGAGACTCTGCTGAGATTATATCCTTCTGCGACGTCCCTGCCATCTGTGGAATCGTGATTTCAGAGTCGTCCGAGGTGCAAGCCCAAGAATGGACCTAAGCTATATTCTTCTCTCTATCTATCTCGAACGGACCTTGCTCCACTACATGTATCTGGACAGATAGGCAGGCAAGATACTTTCGGACTGCCAACTCACCTTATGTAGAAACCACAAACAGAAAACGCTCTGCCTCCACGAGCTGAAAGCTGGAACCATAACTCTTCTGTTGTCGAAATATACTCTGGAAGAGCTATAATTTCGGGCAAGGACCTCCCCTCATCATGTCTGGTTCAACTCGTGGGGTATCAATATCAAATGACATACTCCACGAAGTGCTCCAGCCACGGGAGGGTCGGATAAGTGAACTTGCTTACTTGACCCCTCCCCGAGGAAGTCATACTTGCCTGAATATGTCAATAATAACCCCCTGCCCCCCTCTAGAAGCCCCCTGAAAAATATTGTACCTTGAAAATTTTATTGCGGATTCCGACAACTCTTAAAGAGCGCAGTCGGAATCTGCCAAAAAAAACAAAAAAAAGATATTTGGGCACTTTTTTTTCAAAATCGGTTTCCCGGTTCACCCCCCCTGGGCTGGTCCGGCTCCGATTGGACCGGGGTAGCTCAACCGGCCAGTTGCCGGCCCAGCACTGGTTTATTTTATTTTCTAACCCCCTCCCCTCCATGGTTATTATTTTCTTTTCTTGATTAGGTCGCCGCTACCCTCCCCTAACCACCCGAACCCTGGTTAGGGTTTCCTTAGGGTTTTTCTAGGGTTTAGGGTTCTCCTAACCCCCCTACTCCCCCGCCTCTTCCCGTCGGGCATCCTGGCCCCGAACGGCTCCTCTCCCCTCGACCGGATCCGTGCCACCATCTCACGCGCGACCTGCTGGTCACAGGGCGAGCCGACCCACGACTACCCACTCCGCTCTCGCGGTCCCCTCCCTCTCACCGGTGGTCCCTTGTCCCCATACCACAACCCATCTCCCCCCCCACCTCCCACAATGTCTACCTCTCTTCCTCCACCGCCCACGGACAGGGCTACAGCTGAGGAGATCGTTGCGGCGCCGTCCACCTCTCAGGCGTCCACCCAACCGACGGTCCAGGGTCAGCCCTCGGTGGATCCCACAGACCTTCGCGTTGTTCTTGCGTCTCTCCTTGCACCTCTGCAAGTGCGACTCGATGCGCTTGCACCCCTGGAGAGGCAAGTCAATGCGCTTGCCCTTGAAGTTCACCGCCTCAAGGGTCTCCTCATTGATCTCCCCACGGCTCTCAGACTCCATTGCCTACCGACTCGGAGTCCGGCTCTCCACGACTCTAGGGGCGGAGACGTGGCGGTCCGTCCTCCTCCGCGGGCCAGGCCCAACACTCCCCCTCCGCAGTGGTGAGTGTTGCTGCCGCTAGGACCATACCGTCTGTTGCGGCACATCCATTGGTCGCCGCCGCCCCCACCACCCCTGTGACTTCGGCCACTACCGCATGTGCTGTCTCCCAAATACCGATACCTGGCCAGGCAGTTTCATCTACCCACCCCGGTGTTGCTTCCTAGCTTCAGGCACCGGTCGCGGCACTACGGCCCGGAGTTCTCCCTCCTCCCGCCAGGGTACTCTTTTCGCCTCCTCCACCTCCGACCCCGCGCAGCCAGCGAGTAGCTACCCTACAGGCCACCATGGCGCAACTCCAGGCGGAGATTCTCTCCCTGAGGCAGCCTCACCCTTCACAGGCTACTCACCCTTCTTCTTATACCGCCCCTCCCACCTCTGGCTTGCCGACTCGTTTCCCTCGACCGGCTCCCCCCCCTCTACCCTACTACCTCGCTACTCCATCACAGTTGGCTGCGGCTGTTGCCTCCACGTCTGCTGGACCTTCCACCAGCAGCCCCGACTCTCAGCCTACTACCACTTCCACGTTTGCACCGGCCTTGACATTTGCCGCCGTGGTGCAAGCCCCTCGACCTCTCTCCCCTCGCCGTCAGCACAGCGGTCCCACCCTTGTGCATCTGTCGGACATACCTGACTTCGATGGTACTATGCGTGTGTCGCACTAGTTGCAGGCTGCCACACGTGCGTTGACACTGACTAACACTGGTCAGGAGTTGTGGTGCTCCGCGCTCGCAACTAAATTGCGAGGACGCGCATTCTCCACATGGGAGAACTATTATACCCATCGTACTCGCCCAGGTGAGGCTCCCACTCTCGCGGATTTCACTGCGTTCCTCTATGACCGCGACGACACTCTCCACGATGCAACCGACGCCTTAGATCGGGTCATCCAGACGGAGTGGCGCGGGTCATCCGCACCAGCCGATCTTGAGCGTCACATTAGAGTGTTTCAAGACGCCCGCCTCATTTGCGATAAAGCACTCCTACCTGAGGTGCTTTTGACCAACAGGTTCGTAGTCAGTCTTCCAACTGACTATCGCATCGAGCTCTGGCGACAGAGCTTCGCCTCCTCCGAGCAGGCCTACGAGGCTGCTCGACAGTACCAGAAGATGCGGAGTCACTTCTCCGACACCCCATCTTCTTTGCGATCCACCGCCACCACCACCCAGTCACGCGGCACCACGTGCGGTCGATCCTCCTTCGCCGACCGCTTTCGCCGACCAGCTCAACCCGGAGCGCCATTCTCTCGGCGCTACAGTTCTCTAGAGTACGGCACGGACGCCTCGGTCGAGCTTGACCCTACCCTTGAGGATGCCCCCGAGGACATCGAGCTCCGAGACGTCATCCAGTATCACTTGGATGACGACACTGTTCCGGTGGCTTAACGCCTGCAGATGGCCATGTCCGCCATGGGTCGTGCACACACTCGGGTTGCACAGGCTGGGGCCCGCACGTCCACAGTTCCTCAGATAGACCTCCCACAGGGTTTTGTCCCTCCTCGCGGAGCTCTATCCCCTGAGGAGCGTGGCGCCCTGGAGGCCCGTCGCGGTTGCCTTCGTTGCCGCCAGGATGGACACACCTCCTCACGGTGTTCATACCATGCCGCCCTCGATCGACACTACACTGACATTTCTTGTCAGCGTCGATCTCAGTCCCCCCCCGGCCCCGCCCGGCCAGCCCCACCCAGCTAGCCACAGTGCAGTGTACCGATGAGGTCTCGCACGTAGCCGGCTTCCCGACCACCGAGTTGCGATTTGCCCCTTTGGCTACCCCACCAAAGGATCCTCAGGACACGACAGACGCAGTTCCCTCTGCCCCACCGTCTGTCGAGGTATTGTCTGCCCCACAACAGACCGCCGCATCTAGTCCTTCCCCTCCGAGACTTCCGACGTGTCGCGCCATTCGCACAGCTCGTTGTAGTGCCCAGCTGGCGACTCGCGATGACGTTGTGTCATCTCTTTTGGATTTGAGCATCCTTCAGGCTCGCCAGAAGCGACTCACGAGGCACGTAAACGTCCTGCGTCGTCTTCTCGCTCTGCTCTCTGACCCTGATCGCACCCTCTCCATCATCCTTATTTCTCTGGGGACATCTACGAGGGTGTACCATGCTTTATGGGACTCTGGCTCGCAGGGAGACTTCGTCACCCTCGCGTGGTTGAGGAAGCTCGCCTAGCTACCTCCGGGTCTCGCTCTCCTATCTCCGTTACCCTCGGAGATAACAAGACGCAGCGCTTCTTCGATCAGATGGTCCCCGACCTCCACTTCTCCCTCACCCTCCAGCCATCGGATAGTACCCAGGCGCCTCGGCGTTACCATTCCTCCGCATACTTCGACGTGCTGGAGACTGGGTACGACTTTATCCTTGGCACTCCCTGGTCTCGCCGGTTCCGTGGCACAGAGGCCGAATGGGCGACTGAGACACTCATTCTCAAAACGAAGTGTGGTCAAACCCATCGAGTCCCCTTCATTGGAACCACGGGCGACACCCCTCCACACCCACCTCCCGAGGACCCTCGTCCCTCTGGGTCCTACCCAGACATCGCCTTCACTTCTCCTCGTCAGTTTACTCACTTCATATGACAGGAGGACGTCACGTTCTACTCAGTGAATGTCATGGATCTTCTTCCCTACGATCCACTCTATCCCGAGGTTGAGCTCACCTCACTGGAGCCCGATCCCCATGACCCTTCCTCCATCTTTGCGGCTCCCATCTCCACATCCACCTGTCAGCCTGCGAATACCCCCTCGAAATCCCAGGTCCCTTCGCCGTCCACTGCGTAGTCCACCCATACGTCTTGTGTCGATGCAGACGTTGAGGAACTCATGCGGTTCACGACTGACTTAGAGCCTGCCGTTCGCAATTTGATTCGAGAGTACCGCAACGTTTTTCCCCCGTATTTCTCATACAGTGGGATCCCTCCTATGCGTGGTGTTGAGCATTTTATCCAACTCGTGCCTGACTATCGTGTCCACCATCAGGTACCCTACCGACTCTTGATTCCAGAGGTGACGGAACTCAAGCGTCAGCTTGAGGAGCTCCTTCGACTGGGTTTCATTAAACCCAGTAACTCCCCTTGGGGTGCACCCGTCCTCTTTGCTCGCAAAGCAGACGGAACTCTTCGCCTCTGCATTGACTACCGCGGCCTTAACTGTTACACGGTTAAGAACAACTATCCCATGCCTCGCGCAGATGAGTTGTTTGACCGTCAGGCAGGCAACCGCTTCTTCACGAAGATGAATCTTCGTAGCGGTTACCACCAGATCCGCGTAGCCACAGAGGACCAGCCGAAGACCGCCTTTCGGTTGCGCTTCGGCCACTACGGTGATGTCATTCGGCCTCACCAATGCACCCGCCACCTTCCAGACGGCGATGAACGACATCTTCAAGGACATCCTCGAAGAATACGTTCTCGTATACCTGGACGACATCCTGGTCTACAGTCGTATCTTAGAAGACCATCTCAGACACCTCCGCGATGTCCTACAGCGCTTACGCAAGCATGGCTTCTATGCCAAGCTTAGTAAGTGCCGCTTTGCCCAGCGCAAAGTGGACTTCCTAGGACACCATGTGTCTGACCAGGGTCTCCACATGGACGACGCGAAGATCACTGCTATTGCGGAGTGGCCTGTCCCCACATTCGTCAAGCAGCTTCACAGTTTTTTAGGCCTCACTAGCTACTATAGCAATTTTATCCAGGGATACGCTAGGTATTCCTACGTCCTTACCTTCACCCTCCTTTGGAAGAACCCGCCGTGGTTTTGGGCACCCTTGTGCGAGGACGCGTTTCACGCCCTCAAGAAGGCGGTGACTTGTGCACCTGTTCTTTGATCGTCTCTTCATTGCCACCATTGATGCGTCAGATTTTGCAGTAGGAGCTGTACTTTCTCAGGTGTTTCCCTCTCCTCCCGATTCACCTTATGCTCATGTTCCTCCTCCCCCCCCCCCCTCCTGCTGACACTGCTTCTCGACTGACGCCTACCCTCCCACCACTTCCGTCCACTGACAGTCCTCCCGTTACTTACTCTGTCGAGGCTCGTGCTGGGGATTGTCTGATCGCCTTCTACTCTCGTCACCTACTGCCTGCCGAGATAAACTACACTGCCGATGAACGTGAGGTTCTCGCAGTAATTTATGCTACCCGGCATTGGTGTCATTACCTGCACGGGGCACCCTTCACTGTGCGCACGGACAACTCAGTTGTCCAGGCTTTCCTCACGAAGCCCAAGCTTTCCCCTCGTCATGCACGTTGGTGGCGTGACTTATCCGAGTTCAGTTTCACGACTCAGCCCATCAAGGGTGAAACGAAACGCGTCGCCGATGCCTTGTCCCGCCGTCCTGATCACAATCAGGAACCCATCCATCTTGCTGCCATCTCCATCACCATTGTTGATCACTCGGTGATCGACGTATATCGCACTCAGTACCGCCACTGCCCCGATTATCGCGTCATCCACGTGACACTGCAGAGTGGCAAGACCGTTCCCTCGTACTCCCTCGGGGAGAACGGTCTCATGTACTGGCATGGCAGATCTGGTCAGCTAGAACCACCGGACAGCTCCGCGTCTAGGCTGTAGCAGATTTCCATGACCAAGCAGTTGTCGGTTATATGGGCTTCCACAAGACGTTGGCTCGTGTTTGCCGCTTATATGTCTGGACGAAGTCCAAGGACTTCGTCAAAGCCTACATCCATGAGTGTCGTACCTGCCAGGAGGTGAACAGTCTGAACCACCTTCCGTATGGGTTACTTCAGCCCTTACCCATACCCGAGGGTCGTTAGCAGTCCATCTCGATGGATTTCATTGGTCCCCTCCGCCCACCCACTGAGCGCGGTCATGATGCTATCTTGGTCGTCGTCGATCGCTTCACGAAGCGGGCACGCTTTGACCCGTGCCGCTATCGCATTAGCGCTCGTGAGGTCACCGACATCGCCTTCGACCGACTTGTGAGAGATCACGGCTTAACTCAGAGCATCATCTCCGACCGTGACCCGCGCTTTGCCAGCACATTCTGGCGACGCCTACACGAGGTGTACGGATCCCAGCTCCACTTCTCATCGTCTTACCACCCTCAGATGGATGGTCAGGTTGAGGTCACCAATAAAACTCTCGGTAATATCCTTCGAAAGTTTGTTCGGGATGACCAGCAGTGGGACTTATACTTAGCCCATGCGGAGATTGCGTACAACCACGCTGTTTTGCCAGCCACCGGGATGTCACCATTCTATTGCGACCTCGACTACCACCCTCGCATACCCGCGGACTTCCTACGACCATCGCGGTTGCGCCCAGACACTCGTTGTCCTGCGCTTGACGACTGGATCGCCAACGTGGCGGCGATTATGAAGCGCGCACACGAGAGTCTAGCCGACTGCCAGACTCGCATGGCCGCATGAGCAAATCGATCATGAATGGATCACCCATTCAAAGTCGGTGACGATGTGCTCGTCGACGCACGCCACTTGCAGCTCGGAGCGGATACACTTCGCAAGTTCAGGTGTCGTTTCTTCGGTCCATGCCGCATCCTTCAGGCCGTCGGTTCTAATACTGCCGCTAGTCCGGTCAGCTTCCGTGTGAAGCTACCTGATTACCTTCGACAGACTTGTGTACACGATGTTTACCACGTCTCCTTGCTGCGTCCTTATCTCAGACCGCCCGAGCGCTTCGTCGGACGTCCTTATGAGCGCCCTCCACCTATCATGGTGGACGGTCACGAGGGGTTCGTTGTTTTCGACATCGTATCTCGCCGAGTTATCGACGATACCCCTCCACGCATCGAGTACCTTGTGCGTTGGAAGGGCTATCCTGATGAGGAGGCTACTTGGGAGCCCCTCGAGCACTTGCAACACGCCCGGATGTTGGTGTGTGCATATGACCGTGCTCGTCGTGCTGAGACATCTGCTCCTACTCAGCCGACTGACCCTTTTCCTCCTTCTCCGGCTGAGGAGATCGTTGAGGACGAGCCCGATCCCTCTGAGGTTGTTCTTCAGCAGCAGACGGACGCCTCCGCGCGCCCATCGTGCACTTGTCGACGCCCTCGGCGTCTTGACGATTGACACTCTGATCACCTACTATCTCCCTATTGACTCACACCATCAGGTACTCCATCATCAACTTATTCCGAATGTCAGCGTTTTGCAGCTCTGCTTCGACATCGGCTCGACTCCTACTTCATCGACGTCATCGACCACTTCGACGATTTCAGCTACCTTCTCGACTTCAACCAACTTATCGGCTTCAACTACTTTGGACGTGACTCCCTGAGTCCCCCCCCCCCGCCACCACCCTACCCTGTATATTCCCTTGCATCTGTCGCATGATGGTTCTCACTTAATTGGGTCTCCTTGAGTTGGGCTCTCCCTTGGTATCGCATAGGCATTGGGACCGTAGCGTTATCTTGGTTTCCCTACTCCCAGATTTAGCTCCCTCCCCCAGTCGGTGAGTTGTGTGCATGTTTCCCTCAC